TGATCTTCGAACAAAAGCATGAAATTTATGCGTCATACGGCCGTTCGGTCAAACGAACGCGATGATTTTCTTTCCTTTCATTTCATTAAGATCCGAAAAATTAAGATTAATTTTCAAATCAAAACCGATACCGTTTTTTAACAAAGAGATTTAATATCCGAATAAAGAAAGCAATTGTACGGTGAGAACTTGTGTGGGAACCAATTGAGAATTTTTAGCTCGTTCTTTTACATTCCGCATTATTTAAGTAAAAAGAATATATTCTTTAAATATGGATTTGTAACAAAGTTATCGCTATTATTAACGATATGCGTCGCTTGCTAGAAGTTTTTCCCAAAAAATTAATAAAATACAGATTCTCAATTAACTACTTAATAATTAGTTAATAATTAGTCATTTTCGTTTCGTTTTACCCCCTCGTTCGTGGAGAAAAGAAAAGGCCAGGTTGGCTTAATTGTATCCCCGATCGACTTATCATTCTTTCATTCATGGAAAAAAGGTGATTCTTTACGTTTTCCAAATATAATTCTTCATTAAATAAAAAATCCCCCGCACTACACTCGGTTTATTTCTCAAATTTAATTCGAGCATATTTCGAATAAAGTTCGTCGGAGAATGTATCGCAAATGTCGAATTCAATAGACGCGCGAAAAATATCGGACGATAATCGTCGACGCGCGCCGCGCCGACTCCACAATTTTCGTCACTCGTGGCGCGTCCAATCGGAGTCGATCGGAGTCGGCGACAGTGGGCGACAGTGGGCGACAGCTTCAGGGGAGACGGCGAGCGAATAGACGAATCCGTATAGCAACAACGAATGGGATTGCGCGAGGGGGGGTGGGACAAGAAGCGCGGCAGCGTCGTCGGCGTCGGAATCGTCGGATAGATCGGGCGGAACGGTGTGTGTGTGTTCCTGGCGCAGAGGTTTGAGGTTGAGGTTTCTCTCGTCGACGTTCTCCGGTTGAGGGACAAAGGCGGTGCGGTGCGCTTCACGAACGGACACGAAGGCGGGGGACGGTTGCGGGGTCGCGGATAGGGTACATTGTACAATTACATTACGAGGGGCTGCGTTCGCGCGGGGTGCTGCTGCGCGCGGTGGTGGTGGCGGTCGAACAGGGGAGTAGCGGAGAGGAGGAGAAGGCGGAGAGTGGTGGGGGCGACGTGTGGTGTGGCTGTGGCGGCAGAGTGTGAGGTTGGTCGGTGCGCGTCCGTGGCTGGGGTATCCGTCTTACGTGCTGGGGTCGTCGCCGTCGGCGCCGAGGTGCATCCGAGATCCGGCGAGCCGTGTGCGCGGCGCGGTGACAAGCGCGGTCGTGAGAAACGGCGAGGAGACCGAGAGAACGCGAGAGAGAGAGATTGAGTGAGAGAGAGTGAGAAAGAGAGGTAGAGCGAGGGCGACAGGGAGTGAAAAGAGGGAAGGGTGAGAGGGAGAGAGAGAAAGAGTGAGAGAGAGAGAGAGGGAAAGAGTGGTGAGGGCACAATCAGGGGAAATAATCGACGGCACATAATCCGACGTCTCCGTGAACACGTCCGTCAAGTCCTCCGATGTCTAGTGCTGAGGTGGCGGAGAGCTCCGTTGATCCCCCAGCCAAGAAGCGACGCGTTGGTGCTGCCAGCACGACGGGAGGAGCCGACGACGAGCTGACGACGACGAACGTGGCGGAGATGGACGTAGACATGGCGAAGAACGGCTCCACGAGCACCGGCGGTGGTAGCGGTAGCGGTAGCGCCGGCGGTGGACGGACGCCCGCCGAGATCGATGAGGGTCTCTACTCGCGGCAGCTCTACGTCCTCGGACACGACGCCATGCGGCGCATGGCGTCCTCGGACGTGCTCGTCTCCGGCCTCGGCGGCCTCGGCGTCGAGATCGCCAAGAATATCATCCTCGGCGGCGTCAAGTCCGTCACCCTGCACGATCACGCCGTATGCAAACTGGCCGATCTCGGCTCGCAGTTCTATCTCACCGAGCTGGACGTAGGTGAGGAATGTTATACGCGTTACCGCGCGCACACCTAGGGAGCAACGCCGGTCGAAAACACGTGAGGCGCGCTGGGGAACGAAGAAAAAGCGCGCGCGTATAATCTTTCGTCTTCTCGTGTAGTCGATAAGGACACCAATTTGAAATCAACGATATAACGTTAATTCTTCTACATTTTTTTGGCAATTAATGTACGGAGCTTGAAAAGAGAAGAATTTAGAAGAAAAAAAATTGATGCCGTGTTCCGAAAGGATTGGATATCCGTGAAAAAAATTTGTAATGTTTTTTACGGGAATATACTTGTTTTAACCGCACCCTTCTATTTTTTTTATTTTTTGCACATTGAAAATAAAATTCGATATAGGTAGATGATATTTGTGATGAGTGACAAATATAGTACATTTTATATACTGACAGGAGAAAAGGAAAGGAGATTGAAATTTCTTTTATTTGTCAAAGATTTGGCTTTAGTTCCCAGCGATAACCTTTCGCAATCCTAATCTGTGAAACGATAAGATTTTAATCAAGATAAGTCACAGCTGTCGATATTAAGCAAATTATAATTCTATTGCACCATCCAGTTGCACGGTTGTCGTTTTTCTCATTATGCACTAAAAATATGATATAAAGCCACAAACTGTGCGTGCTATTAGTGCAAGTCATCATGAAAAGGTCGTCTTGCAAAATATTGCTTAAGCAACTTCAATAACACACTCTTTGTTCTAAAAGCTAAATTCTATGTTGATTTCAAAATGTAAAATTCAGAATGTATAGACTATATAGAGGAAAAGATTTTAGACATTATATATTAAATACATTAACATCATGCATATAAAATTGATATACGTATTAAATTAATACATATAGTTTAAAAAAACTAAATATTCTAATTTTTTTCTGAGCCATGTATATTTAATCTGATATGGATATCTACAAAATTTTGATAATTAAGATAAAAAAATATTGAAATTTATAATTAAAAAATATTCTTTGTTATTCTTTGTTAATATTCTTCCTTATCTAGGTGTATGTGTGTGTGTTAATATTACTGAAATTAGTAAACCTATTATTAGACAATTATAACTTTGTAATTATTTCAACTTAGCAATTATCGATACAAATGGTAGAATTATTGTTTAACGTTACTAAAACTGGATTTGTTTGACAGGTAAGAATCGTGCGGCGGCATGCTGTCAACGCTTGTCAGAGCTGAACAATTACGTGCCTACTCGTCACTACTCCGGTCCGCTAACCGAGGCATACATCCAACAATTCAAAGTCGTGGTACTGACAGAAACACCACTGGCCGAGCAGCTGCGCATCTCGCAGATCACTCGCGCCAACGACATCGCCCTGATACTCGCCGACACCCGCGGCCTCTTCTCGCAGGTGTTCTGCGACTTTGGCGAGTCGTTCACGGTAGTGGACACGAATGGCGAGCCGCCGGTGAGCGCAATGGTCGCCAGCATCTCCCGTGACAGCGAGGGCGTTGTCACGTGCTTAGATGACACTCGCCATGGCATGGAGGACGGTGACTATGTGACTTTCTCCGAGGTGCAGGGCATGACCGAACTAAACGGGTGTGAGCCGATGAAGATCAAAGTGCTGGGACCATATACTTTCAGCATTGACGACACTTCCAGGTGAGGCATACTTACAGGCAGTTACAAGACTTTGTTAGGATTTAAAATTCGGACGTATATAAACTTTGGCCTTTGATTTCAATAGTTTTCGATTATTTCTGTAAAATGAATTAGTACGATATAGTTATAATACAATATTTTCTACTTTGGTGAGACTTCGGTTAATTTAACGAAACGAATCAAATATTGCCAGGTTCTCCGAGTATGTGCGCAGTGGTATCGTGACCCAGGTAAAGATGCCCAAAATTTTGCACTTCGCGCCGTTACAAACAGCTTTGAAGAAACCCGAGTTTCTCGTCACGGACTTTGGCAAATTCGACTATCCGGAACAGCTACATCTGGCCTTCCTGGCGCTGCATCAATACATGGCCGATAGAGGCACATTGCCGCGATCATGGAACCAGTCTGATGCCGACGAGTTTATCGCCATCGCTGAACAGGTCAAGGACAGCTACGGATTTGACATCGAGATTAACGGCGAATTGCTACGCACGTTCGCCAAGGTATCCGCCGGCGACTTGAATCCCATGAACGCCACGATCGGCGGGATTGTTGCCCAGGAGGTGATGAAAGCCTGCTCCGGCAAGTTCCACCCCATCTATCAATGGTTGTACTTCGACGCCATCGAATGCCTGCCCGTCGACCGTTCGGAGCTTACCGAGGAAGATTGCTGTCCTACGGGATCCCGTTACGATTCTCAGGTATATACAATGTTGACCTATCGATTAAAGTTTTGTCAAAAATTTCGAAGAATTTGAAGAAATAAAATTAAATTGTTTTTGGGCAATAATCTATATTGATAATCACATTTCATCTATAAATGAAGGTACAAAACACTGAATTTTACTGCGTAATATAATCATTGATATAATTTCTCTTTCAGGTGGCTGTTTTCGGCAAGAAATTCCAGTCTAAGATCGGCAACTTGAAATACTTTGTGGTCGGTGCCGGTGCAATCGGTTGTGAATTATTGAAGAACTTTGCGATGATCGGCGTTGGCGCGGAGAACGGTTGTGTCACGGTGACGGACATGGACTTGATCGAGAAGTCCAACTTAAATCGACAGTTTCTATTCAGACCGTCGGACGTGCAGCAATCCAAGTCGTCGACGGCGGCCAGAGTCATCAAGGGCATGAATCCTGACATGAAAGTGGTTGCGCACGAGAATCGGGTATGCCCAGAAACAGAAAAGATCTACAACGACGATTTCTTCGAGGTGCTGGACGGCGTGGCGAACGCGCTCGATAATGTAAACGCTCGTATTTACATGGATCGTCGTTGCGTATATTATCGTAAACCCCTATTGGAATCCGGTACGCTCGGCACTAAGGGCAACACCCAGGTGGTGGTGCCGTTCCTCACTGAATCGTACAGTTCGTCGCAGGACCCGCCGGAGAAGAGCATTCCTATCTGTACGCTCAAGAACTTCCCCAACGCCATCGAGCATACTCTGCAATGGGCACGCGACAATTTCGAAGGCCTATTTCGCCAGTCGGCGGAGAACGCGGCGCAGTACATTTCCGATCCGCAGTTTGTCGATCGGACGCTCAAGCTGCCCGGTGTGCAGCCTCTCGAGGTGTTGGAGTCCGTCAAAACGGCGCTGGTCGACGAGAGACCGAACAACTTCGCCGATTGCGCGGCATGGGCCCGTTGCCACTGGCAGGAACAATACAGCAATCAAATCCGCCAGCTGTTGTTCAACTTTCCACCGGATCAGGTGACCTCGAGCGGTCAGCCCTTCTGGTCCGGCCCGAAACGCTGCCCGGACCCATTAAACTTCGACGTTAATGATCCTCTACATATGGATTACATCGTTGCCGCTGCCAATCTCAAGGCCAAAGTTTACGGAATACCCACAAATCGCGATAGAGAGGAGATCGCCAGGCTCGTTGCCAACATCAAAGTACCAGAATTCACACCCAAATCCGGCGTGAAGATCGCCGAAACGGACTCACAGGTAGGAAACAAACTAACAAACGCTTCAATTGGTGTAAATTTTTAATAGAGTTCAGATAGAAATTCTTCAAAATCTTAGTGAGGGTAAAATCAAGATTTTATCATCGTTAATATAATAAGATGTAGAAAATTCTGAAAAGAGAAATCTTGAGAACTTTAAAAGCTTTAGTATTAAAAATACTCGAGACAAGAAATTTTCAATCGGATATAATTTTGCATTATCACTATTAATAATATTAACAATAATAAGATCTGGAAAATCTTAAGATATTAATATTAAAAATAGTCCAAACCAGAAATTTTCAACCAGATATAATTTTGCAATGTCAAGAGAGAATTAAAGGATTGGCGGCGTTGTATGTTTTCAGGTGCAAGTGTCAAACGGCAGCGGTAACATCGACCACGAACGATTGTCGCAGCTGCAGGAAGAGCTGCCGAAGATGGAGGAACTGAACGGCCTGGCGATTCACCCACAGGAATTCGAAAAGGACGACGACACCAACTTCCACATAGACTTCATTGTCGCGGCGTCGAATTTGCGCGCTACCAACTACAAGATCTCGCCGGCGGATCGGCACAAGAGCAAGCTCATCGCCGGCAAGATAATCCCGGCGATCGCCACCACCACCTCCGTGGTAGCCGGTCTCGTCTGTCTGGAACTGTACAAGCTGACGCGCGGCGTGCGCGACTTGTCGCTATACAAGAACGGTTTCGTGAACCTGGCGCTACCGTTCTTCGGTTTCAGCGAACCGATCGCCGCCCCCAAGCTCAAGTACTATGACATCGAGTGGACATTGTGGGACCGTTTCGAAGTAAAGGGCGAATTGACGTTGAAGGAATTCCTCGACTACTTCAAAGAACGCCACAATCTGGAGGTGACAATGTTGTCGCAAGGTATCTGCATGCTGTACTCGTTCTTCATGGCGAAACCCAAGTGTCAGGAGCGCATGGGCCTGCTCATGTCGGAAGTGGTGAAGAAGGTGTCGAAGAAGAAGCTGGAGCCGCACGTGCGCGCCCTCGTGTTCGAGTTGTGCTGCAACGACGAGGACGGGAACGACGTCGAGGTGCCGTACGTGCGCTACACCCTACCCTGACTCGCCCGCGCGGCCCCCGATCGCGCTAGATGATGTCTACTTAACTGAGACACTTAGCCGTACATAGTGATTTCTACAAATTTCTATTTTACGACGATGTAATACATACAGGAGACATTACTGTTGCTGATCATCCTCGTCTATGAATGTCTGTGTGAGGCACTCTTTCTTTCTACATGTATACAGATTTTGTCTCTGTTTTTATCTTTCTTTTTTTTTTTTTTGCCATCAGAGATGCGAATTCTCACGCGTTACTACCGCCAGCGCTTAGTAGTGATTTTGAGCAGCGAGTGCGCGCGGCAGCGAGGTCGGATCCTTTATTTCGTTTAGGGAATGAGATTCGTATGCGAATTTGGTCTCCAGGTTTTCCCGATCGCTACGAACGTGCCGGATTATGATATCAGAAGCGAAAAGTATATTTTCACTATTCGAATCGTCATTCTCTCGCTCAAACAAATACCGAGTTGTGTCCAATTTCCTCATTTTTTTTCAACATTTTATAATCAAATTTTTTTTCCTTTTAATTGACGATCTATAATAAAAAACAAATTAAAAAAAACAAATTCTCGATGTATCGTGGACTTGCTATTGTAATCAAATAAATCAACGAGTTGTAGATTCTAAAATCTGCAATCGTATGTGTATGTGTGTGTGCGCGTGTGCAAATTTCTCTTCGAATTTATATTTCGATAATATACAAACAATATATCGAAAATAGATCAGTTTCTCACCCGTCTGATGTCATAATCCGATCTGTACGATCCGCAGCGACGAGATCCCGAGATACGAAGTCTCGCATAAATATTCAATTCTCGTCTTTCTCTCAGCTGTACTGTTATTTCGACCTGTTTGCTCGCGATGCGTCCCCAACGCGACAGCGATGTAATTGGGAAGAAAGGAAGAGGTGAAAATAGGAAGCGAATGCCAAATTTCTACGACGAAGAAGGAGAAGGAGGAAGAGGAGAATATACCTTCGATGAGATCGTGACTCTCTTTCGGCTGTTCCGCAGAATCCGATGTAAATCAAACTGGAGAGATGAAGCTCTGTGTTGTCATTTTCTCTTGAGTTTCCTTAGATATATTATTAAACGTAATCCCGTAGAAAGATATATTAATAATTAATAGCGCCGCGCATTGTTACGTCTCGTTTCTTTCTCCTTTTCTTCGTTTTCCGCGCAAGTAATCATCTCGATGGGAATGAAGGAGCAGCTGCGTGACCACTGGTCCTTGGATATACGTATTTCTTTCCTCATCTACCTTCTTTTCCAACGTTCTTACGAAAGATTTGATACGCGTTATAAGGGCTTATATAATCGGTACGATTACGTTGTTCACCTGATTTATCCGCTTCGCAACGTCTTTCTCGAATAATAATGGTAATATAATAGTAAATAGCAGTAGTAGAGTAGTTTAGTACTAATAATAATAATAATGAATAAACTATTGGCTAAGGCTGGTTGTTACGACGTATACACTGCATTTAAATTTATAAAAAACATGTCTTTGGAAGAAAGAGAAGCTTCTTAAAAAAAGAGAGAAAGGGAAAAAGAAGAAAATAATAAAAATTGCGTACACTTTAGACCAAAAGGGAGATAAACAAACATAAAAGGAAAGATATTTTGTTAATTTTAGGATATAATGCGGATATTTATTATATATATAAATATATCATTTTTCGTCGATAGACAATTAAATAGATGTGTTTGGATTTCAAGAAGTATGAAATAATAACGAGAATAAAATGGGATGTGTACGCCTCCTCGTGTTTTGTGCCATTTCCCGGACGAATTTATTCGTCTTCAATCGATCCCACGAGTAAATTAAATTTTAGAAAAATGTGAAGAGAGAATTGTTTTCTTTTTGTTACGAGTCGGCTCGAATTTTTTTTTCTTTTTTTTTCGTGCCCGTTTGAGCGCGATGCTTCAAAGTTGAATTGAAATTATTGAGTTATATATATTGTGTATCGATTTTTTAATTATATACGCGTTAACTAATTAATTTAGTTAATTAATTGTTCGTCAGGCTC